TGAGCAACGAGTGGAGGCCGAAGAGACAGGGAGAAGCAGATGACCAGAGGATAAAATCCAAGAGTAAATTGAGCATGACCCCTCCCTTGTTAAGCCTACAAATCTCCTGCCGGCCAAAAGAACACAAACAGGCGTGCTTTCTTTTTTGGCTGCTGCCGCCAGGCATTCACTTCCGGTAGGCCGTGCCCCAAAAGTCTCGGCGCGTTCACAGCCGCATTGGAGAAAAATGGCTGGGAAACCTACTGGTGGTTTAAGATCTGGAGGGAGATTGCCAGATTGGCCCCCCATGCCATTCTAACAAAAAGGTCCTTTTCTATAAGATCCACAAACAAAAAAAAAAGAGGTCCTATGCGAACCATTATTCGCCAACCCATTCATAACAGATGAGCGTCGATCCGAAAAGTGCGGCCGTGCACACGCCGCTGTGCACATGCTGGGCATGGATAAATATTAAATCTGTTCGGAACAAACCGTTGCGGTACCGCAGCAATGGCTGGTGCATTCACGGCCGCAAAAGGAGTCTGGAAAATCAGCCCACGTCTGGGATGGTTAATACCAAAGATTGGGCTGGCACAGTGCCAAATAACCGGACCTGCATAAGAGATGTCAAACTCTCTGTCCAGTTGATGTAGCTCAGTGGTTAGAGCACCGGTTGGAAATGCGCATCGTGGTATGAGGTTGCGAGTTCAAAACTCAATCGCAGCCTTGCGCATGGACACCGGCAAGGCGTTAGAATGACGCACGGCTGGGCACACACCCCCTTGGGCTGACACAGGTAAGCTATTTCAGACACTACCTGTGCACCACCCAAGGGTTAGTCCGGGTTGTTATATGTCGGATTCTACCTACGCGGGCTTACTTGAGGACATTGGCTACTGGTTGCTCTGATGATCTCCCCCATCATCCGCCGTACATGGTGCATACTACAGTCTGGCATAGCTGTTATACACACATATTCATTGTGTCACGTGATTCGCGATACCTATACTGCCGGCACACTATACACCGTCTTAGGGCGTACACCCGTGACCTATGGGCAAATTGCACAGCCTATGGTCACTGATATACTGCTTACACATACACACAGGTTACGACACACACCTATACACCGTCTTAGGGCATACACCCGTGGCCTATGGGCAAAATTACGCAGCCTATGGTCTCCGATACACTGCTTACACATACACACAGGTTACGACTTAGACACTGACGTATCAGTAGAGTCAGGTGGGGGAGACCGATCTCTGTCATGGGTTCGTCATGGAGTTCAGATCCAGGCTACGGGGAATCTGCTCTGGTCTGTGCGAATACATGGCCGCGATTCGGTTCGTCGGTATGACTGATAGTGATACTGATTGTGCCTGACGTCCGAAGTCCCTCGAGTAACATGGTTTGCGCGTTCAGGCTTCCACTGGGGCTGGGTGGGGTAGCTGTCTAGTCCAGGTGCCTATAACTACTGTTCGGTCTACGTCATCCTCTGAGGGTAGGGTGATTGTCCTCAGTGCTTGTACCACTGAGGTAGGATAGTAGGTATAGGGGGTGCGTTAGGAGAATTGAAGTGAGGTAGGGTAGGGAGGCAGTCCTGCCATCGCACCCACTAGCTGGTTGAGCTGGAATAGTACCAGGAAGGCGACCACTCCAATGTCAGAATAGGTGGGAGCCATGAGGCCACACATGACCGGCATGCGGTCTGTGATTGGTGCCAGTGGAATACCACCAACTCGGGCCATACCTCCCCACGAGAACTTCCGAGTCGGTTGCCGGGAATAATACTGGATCGGTTACCTACGGGGAAGTCTCCCTCCAGTGCTCCTATGACAGTACCCACGTGGGTCAATACCCGACCTCTATAACAACCTGGGCTTAAAAAAAAAAAAAAAAAAAAGTCAAAACCTCGCCAATAATCTAGTCACAATCAGAAGGACCCCACTAATAGATGGAGGGGCTGGTGGGGGGAGGGAGGGAACTAGTGTGTAGCAGTAGATATCTGGCACCGGGTCCAGGGTGAAGAGGTTTCCCCCTCTTTCCAATATCCTGCTCAGTCAATCCCCTGGATCCCAGGGTAATCAATGCTGGCAGGAATCTCCCGCAATTGTGTTTCTGTCTGATATACTTCAAGTTCAGTCTGTATATGGGACGCTGGACCCGTTTTCCAGCAGGTGATGAGCCTCTCCCCAGGTGCTACTGGTGTCTGCTCTTATCAGCACCACTAACACTGGTGGGGGCGTGATTAAGAAAAAAAGAAACATGGAAACTGAGGAGAATTCAGTATATCGGTACTGAGTAGAATTCAGTATATATATCCCAATCCCAGGTTGTTGTAGAGGTCGGGGTCCACACATACGGTGGTCGCAGTTTCAGTCAGCCATCGGTTATTGGCATTTTGTTGTGAGACCGCCTCCCTACCCATCCTCTCATCAATTCTCCTAGTGCACCCCTACTCCCACTATCCTACCGGAGAGTCAGTCACTCAGGACTATCACCTCACCATCTCAGAGGGTGACTTGGACAGGCCACCAGTTATAGGCACCAGGGCTCTGCAGATGACCCCACCCAGCCGCAGTTGAAGCATGATCAGGTGAGCCTTGTCACACGGGTACCTCGAATGCCAGGCTCGAGCAGTGTTTCTATCGGCCCCACCTACTACCCTAACCCTGCCAAAATATTACTGACTATATCTGATAGCCCCCCCAACCCCACATCTAGTCTATGACACCCCTATCAGAGACCGGATACGCCCCTGGCCTTCTAATTGTGCCCATAGGCTGTGTGTGTGCCCGTCTGTTGTGTGCATGCCCATTGGCTATATATGTGTGGCGGTAGGCTGTGTGTGACCATAGACCATGTATATGTGCCCATAGGCTATGTGTATGCCCGTAGGTCATGTGTGTGTACCTGTAGGCTGTGTATGTGTAAGAGTTGTGTGGTTCTAATACACATTTCATAAAAACTGAACACTTTACACTATACATGGCCCGATAGGGCATTATACGGCACTTTAAGTGAGGCTGAATGCTCTGTATATGTGGTGTCGATGGGGTGAATGGTGTGGTGGGGTGTTTTTAGCCCTTTGTACATGAATGGTCATTATTAAATGTGAATTAACAGTGCACAATATGGGTGCCCGTAGAGGATTATGCAATCAGACTCGCTTTCATTCACACTTTTGGTGCATGCAAACAGTAGCGCAGCAAACTGGCGACATGCGCCCACTCAAAACTCAGAGATATGGCAACCCAGATAAGAGTTCACTTTCAATGGCTATGGCAACTCAGCGCCCAAACAACTCTGTGTTCGCATACACCGGATCACCCTAGATATCCCACACACGTCTCTCCGAACACTCACACACACACACACTGAACACTCACTTCAGCTATAGCGGCTATGGCCGCAACTACCCTATCGCTATGCTACGCTCCTTCTCTCTCGCCCACTTCGGCTCCGGGCTCTCTGCAGACCTCCTTGCACAAGTCGCTGTGGCAGCGCTTCCGCATGGCTCACACAGGAATGAATGCATGACTGGGCGCTGCCTCTTGATTTATACTTCTGAAGCTCGTTGGTCTGCCCTTTCCCATCGGCCCATGGTGCTCACAGTCCCTTGTGGTACTTGCTGGACTGGACTGGGACTGACTGGACCTTACCGCTGACTGAATGGGGACTCACTGCTTTCCTACCGCCACCATACTGCAAACATACTGCAGTTGGTCCACCACTTGCCCACTTGCCCACTTGCTCGACCTTCTAGAAGGACTACAGCTAAGACTTCTGGAACTCACTAAGACTTCTATTCTATAGATCTACAAATCGAACCCCTGCTACCTATGGACCCTACAACAGTCTACTAACTGTTACAAGTACACAGGTCGTGGGTTCAAGCCTTGGGGTCGACACAGATACTGTACACCGGTAGGGTAAGGGCTAGGGATCGAGCCCTGGGGTCTGCATCGGCTGCTGCAAAAGGTGAAAACCGTTTCACTCCCGCCGTCCTAAATTCGAGGTCCTTCGAGAATATTTTAGTCCAAGGCAGGATCACACTCATAGCTCTTACTATATCGGGAGCTGTTTCTAGAAGTTCTGTTCGAGTAAACCAGCAGTCGTCTTCCGGTTCCTGATAGGCAAACCGGACTCTATACTGTTTCTGTGGACGACCTCTACCTCCTGTCTTAAAGACATATTCATCTACAATGTCGTCAATGTCATATCTGCCATCCATATCTGGAGGGATCATGGATCTTCTTGAAGGGAACTGTTGACTTGTGATACACGGCCTCAACTTTGAAGCATGGAACACCGGGTAGGTGTGGAGGTGTGCTGGAATTTCTTTAGTGTAGGACGGTCCATCCTCTTCGCCCTTGACTTCTAGAACCGGCCACGGTCCTCTATATGCAGGCAGTAACTTCTGTGAGATGTTCTCCTCAGGCGCAAGCTCATTAGACTTGACCCAGACCAGGTCGCCTACCTGAAACTGCGATGGGCGACGATGCTTATTAGCCTGTTCTATCATGCGGTGCTGGGCCTTCCTGAGGTTTTCAACAACAGTTGCTAGCTCTCTCTCGTGCTGTACTGCGAACTCCCTGGTTCTGGGCGGTAGCCTGTGAATCTGATCCCGGGTAAGTCCCTCAAACGGTCTGCGGGGTCTAAAGGACTTGTGCAACTCGTTGGGAGTGCGACAGGTGGACAAATGCATGCTGTTATTGTATGCGCTGGCTACCTTGGGCAACATCTCATCCCAATTGACTTGATCCGGTCTAATATACATGCGCAGAACTTGCTGCAGGATCTTGTTCACCAGTTTTGTCTGACCGTTAGTCTCTGGATGACGGCCAGATGACATCAGCAACTTTGATCCATAGACTCTCATTAGTTCCTGCCAGCTCTGGCTGGTGAAGCGGGTGTCTCTATCACTAACAATGGACAAAGGAACCACGTGATCACTAATCCAATGATAAAAAAACTTCTGAATGACTAATTATGTGCGTGCCTCTGCAGGCAAAGGAACAAAAACTGCATATTTACTGAATCTGTCAACTACGACCATGACTTGGCTCTTGTCGTGCCTACTCTTGACACCGGCATCCATAAAGTCAATGGAGACTGAATCTCCAAGTTGGTCTGGGATAAGCAAGGGTCTGAGAAGACCTAGAGGGGCGCACGTAGTGGTCTTCTTCCTCTGGCAAACTTTGCAACTGCGAACATACTGTATACAGTCGGCTTTCATTCCTGGCCAGGTATACGCACACATTAGATTGGCTAAAGTCTTTTGCCAACCAAAGTGTCCCTCTGTGTCGTGGCATTCCCCTAGGATTAGGCTACGGATCTCTTCACTGTTGGGAATGCACAGGCGGTCTATTACATTAGTCTTCTCAAACAGTAGTCCCTCAGTAGTGCGGTAATCTGGTTCGGTCTCTAGGGCCTCCTTGACTCTCTTGAGGAGGTCACTATAGATAGGGTCCTGCGTATACACCTGTCGGACTTTCTCCTGCAGGTCCTTCCCTATATCCAGATAGTGTACTATAGCTCCAAAGTAGTCTGATCTCCTACTCAGAGCATCCACAACTACGTTGCACTTGCCTTTGACCGGTTTGAGCTCAAAGTCATACTGGTCTATCTCAGCAGCCCACCTAGTCAACTTAGGTGTCATTTTGACCTGGGTCTTTAACCATCTAAGTGTCTCATGGTCAGAATATACTTTGAAGTGCCTCCCAAGCAGATAATGTTTCCAGTGCTCTAAGGTCTGCATGAGAGCGTAGAGTTCTCTCTCGTACGTCGAGGTAGCAACCTTTTCTGAGGGCATCCTCGCTGACATGAACTCTGCGGGTCTATAGCCATTGTCGTCGTCTCGCTGCAACACGGCGCCTATACCATACCGACTCGCGTCCGTGGTGACAACAAATGGCAAAGACGGATCAGCTACTTTGAGGACAGGGTACTCTATTAACGCGCGCTTGAGTCTCTTTAGCGCAAACGTACAATCTTCGTCCCATTGCCAGATTGCCTCTTTCTTTAGGAACCTATGCAAGGGAGCGGCGATAGTGGAGAAGTTTCTCACGAACTTCCTATAATAGTTAGTTAGGCCTAGGAACGACCGCAATTCAGTCAACGTGCGGGGCGTCGGCCAGTCTCTAATAGCCGCTATCTTATTGTCCTCTGGCTTAATGCCATCTCCGTCTAATATGTGGCCCAAGTACAGGACTTGTGTCTTGGCCCACTCACACTTCTTCGCGTTAATCTTGAAGTTAGCTTCTCTCAGCTTCTCCAAGACTTGCCTCAAATGACCCTGATGCTCTTGGAGGGTCCTGCTGAAAACTACGATATCATCTAGATAAACTACTACAAACTTGTCTAACCAAGCTCTAAACAGATCATTCATACAACGTTGAAAGGTAGTTGGCACGTTGGTTAGTCCAAAGGGCATCACTATGAACTCATAATGCCCATATCTAGTCCGGAACGCAGTCTTGTACTGGTCATCAGGATGGACCTCTATTTGATGATAACCAGACTTCAAGTCTATCTTCGAAAAATATTTGCAACCATGCACTCGATCTAAAAGATCGTCTATCTTGGGCAGTGGTTCTGCATTCTTTACGGTAATAGCATTTAAACCCCTATAGTCTATGCACATGCGCAACTCTCCCTCTTTCTTGGGGACAAACAGAACAGGTGCTCCAAAGGAGACGAACTGGGCCTGATCCAACCTTTCTCCAGGAGCTTGTCCAACTGCATACGTAGCTCCTCTAACTCTCTAGGGGACATCCTGTAGACTGCTCCCTTAGGAGTTCTACCGCCAGGCTCGATTTCTATTATGTGTTGGATCGGTCGCGGCACTACTCCTGTCGCCGACTCGGTCAAATCTCTGAACTCCTCCTGCAGCTTGGCAATAGTTGGATCTGCGGAACTTACCTCTTCCTTTGCCTCAGTGACAGGCCTCACATACACTACGAAGACTTGATTCTCTAAATGTTTCTTTTTCACTCGTCGCGCGAATGCGGGAGCACTGAGATAGCAATGTGCCAAGGTGTTGTCTACACCTGACACATGAAACAGGCGGGCAGTCTTAACCTCGCCTGACGGACTAGGGAGCCGACACTCATGCTCTCTCAAGTGGAGTGTGGCCCCTGCTGCCTCTCCCCAATCCATTCCTAACACTATGCCGAAAGGGAGGTCATCCTGAACGAGGAGAGTCAGGGAATGGAGAACTTTCTCCACCTTCCCATCTTTCTCTAGGCGAAAGTACGCCTGAACTCCCTCTACGTAGTCCTCAACACGCATCGTGCGGTTGTCTGCGAGGACACTGACTATGGGGTTTGCCAACTTTTGGACTTTCAATCCTAGCCTTAGCTTCCTCAGCGCTCTACGACTAATGTAACTACGGGTAGCCCCTGAGTCTATAAGGGACCCTACTCTTCTTCTAAACACTTCTACATCTACCAAGATCAGTTGTCCCTTACACTCCTTCTTCATTTTGGCCCAGGCTGGCATCCTCTCCTTCAACTCTTTTGCCACGCCTGTGAGGGACGTGCCTAGAGAGACGTTAACACAAGCAGTCTCTGGACAGCTAACTAGGTACGGGCCTGCAACCTCTGCCATAGGCTCATGTCGTTTGGGAGTTTCCTGTACACGCGCGCTCGCTTCCCCACATGGCCTTGAAGTAGGGGCAGTTGCGACCCCTACTAGCGGTTGCCTTTTGACTGCTGAGCAGCCCATCGGGCCTGTCTATACTTAGGACAAAATTTAATTACATGGGCCGGGTCACCACAAAATACGCACTGACCCAGGTCCACGCGTTCCTGCCATACGCGCTGGTCCAAGCCCAAGTCTTCCCAAGGCCTGCCCTGTGGCAAGCTTGGGTGCCATCCTCCTTGAGGTGGCCTTCCACCTCGTCGTTGTGGGGACCAACAAGAACCCTGACGATTCGGCGGGTGACCTTGACCCCTACCTCCCACTTGGCGGTTCCCTTGTCCGCCAACTCCTTGTGTGCCCGGTCCTCGGCCTCCCGTGGCCTGGCCCCTTTGGCCCTGGCCTCCTCCTCTACTTTGCGGCCTCCCTCTTGCCGCGACAGCAGCATAGGACCTCCCCTGCCCCACGCTATTGTCCCCCTCCTCAAGGCTCCATTCGATCTGACTATATGAGACCTCATCTGTACCACCCTCCTCTAAAGTAAGGATCATGTGATCCTTGGCCCTGACTTGGCCAGAGATGGTATGTCCTTTCCACTTTTTTCCCTTATCCAAGTCCTTGTGCCAGAAAGTGGATACAGGCATGGACTTTGACTCCAATAAGACCACTTCCCTACTCTGCACATCGTATGTGGTGTCAGCCTGTTGAGACTTGTCAAAGAAATGCCCACGCAGGGGCTCTGGCATGGCACGATAGAATAACTGGACCAATTGGGGCTCAGTAACCCCATGGTCTGGGACGGCTACCAAGTTGTCCATGACGCCCTTGAGTGCTCTTGCACTCATCCACTGTCGTGAGTGGATGGTCTGTAACTTATTAGAGGCTCTAACGCCTCTCGTTGGGTCAGCAAATCTCTCCCTCAGGAGTTTGAAGAATTGCGGAAGGGGGGTGATCTTTGAATATGCAACCAGGTTGTTTTCACAACCTGGCTGTGCGCGCAAGGGACCTGGCAAAATTGGCCGCTTCATCTTTGAGGGCCTGGAAGGCAACGAGGACTTGCTCCTCGGTCAAGATGTTTTGTAAGTACACGTAACTATTGACACTAGCCTCCCAGTTATCAAAGGTCTCCTCCTTCTTTCCGCCATATGCATCTGGGAACTTAAGCTTGACGGGTTTTTACGAGGTCTGGTCTCGCTCTCAACAGCGGCTACTGCTTTGGCACCCTCAATAACGCCCTCACAGAACTTCCCCACGTTGTCTCTCAGTCGCCTAACTTCCCCTCCAACGTGGGTGACTAGGTCGCGCGCAAAATCCCTAAATCCGGACCGCATGGCACTCAGAGCTACCTCTTGAGCCCTGTTGGTTTGGCATTCCTCCATCCCAGCCGCACTCAACACCTCCTCCTCTTTTTTTCCCTCTTCATTCTCAGTTTCCACCCCAACTTCTTTTCCTCCTCTACTTCTTGCAATTCCAGAGGGTCCTAGATTGTTGCTAGCTCATTGCCTAATGCATCTCTCTCATCGTGTGGCACATAAAATTATGCCTCCTCATCTTCCCCCAACGATGAATTAGCTATCCACTCACTAGTCTTCTTCTCCATCTTTGCTTCCTCCTCCTTCATACCACTACTCTCCGCCTTTTCGTGTCTACATTTTCTCTCCTCCTCTTCCTCTGCTGCCGCTTCTTCTTCAGCAGCCCTCTTCTTCTTCTCCAATTCCTTCATCTTCGTCGCCTGCTCCTCTGCGATTGCCTTTAACTTCGCCTGTTTCATGAGCTTTTTCCTCTCTTTGTTCTCTCTCTCTAAGGCGGCCATCTTCTCCTGTTGCTCTTGGGTGTAGGGGCTAGTGCTCGTCCCACTACGGGTCTCAACCATGGTGATAAGTGCACAATCGGATTGACGGTTCCAAGCCTCACCACGTAGACTCTAACCCCTAACTGACAAACCTACTAACTCAATCTAAAGACTCACAGAATTCGGACAGGGATCCTGCCAACGAGGGTCTCTAGCCTAGACGTACACGATGACTGTCACTACTAGACCTGTTGCCGATCAGGAGGCATTTAAGGAGATCCCCCGTAACTCCTCAGGAATTATTTAACGTCGCAAACAGGACAACGCGATCAGCAGGTCTATCAACACTTAGATGGCCTGTTGTGCAGCCCACAACTCGGATTTTGGGCCTACCATGCCACACCGAGCAGCCCGCCGGTCAGTACCGGTCCTTGGGAGGGTTAGGCCTCCGGGACAGCCGAGTTGTCAGACACAGTCTTTAGCCCTACTTTGCCCATGTGGGTTTGGTCAACAAGGCTCTATCCTTCATCCACAGAGTTCTATCACCTGGACAGAAGAGACTCGATGCAGAAAGAAGAGACAGACAGACTGGACTCAGCAAGTACCACAGGGTGTGTGCACATCCATAGGGCGAGGGATAGCTTGAAGGCTTGGCGAGATTATACCGGCTCCAGCTTGGTCAAACTCGTGGTCAACGGCTTTGTCAACGCTGGTCAATGTTGCGGTCAACGCAGGTCAACACCTCCGGTCAACTCCTGGTCAACCCCGGTCAACGCTTGGTTAAACTCTCCCTGTCAACTTCCCCGGTCGGCTATGGCTGCCGGCTTCACTTTCTCTCACCAGCCCTCTTCTTCCCTTCACCTTCCTCGCCTCCTTTCACCCTGCTATCTTCTTTCTCTTTTTTTTTTTTTTTTTTGTTGGTCTCCCCCTTCTGCCTCGACTATGGCTTCTCTCTTCTTTCTCGGTCTCTCCTTCTATCCACTCTCTCTCCCTCCTTCGTCACTCCGTGGTCAAGCTCCGCGGCTATGGCCGCAACCTTCTTCTTCGTTTGACTGCACCTCACAGGTACGTAACATACAAACTTGTATCGCTCATCTCTCTCTCTCTCTCTCTCTCTCTCTCTCTCTCTCTCTCTCTCTCTCTCTCTCTCTCTCCGTCGCGGTATCTCCAGCGCAGCAGGTACGTAGTAACCCAATCTTGTATCGCTCTCTCTCTCTCTCTCTCTCTCTCTCTCTCTCTCTCTCTCTCTCTCTCTCGGTCTTCTTCTTCGTCGTGGTCTTCTTTGCAGGTGCGCGGCGGCTTCTCCAACCTCCAGGTCCGCTATGGCGGACTTCTTCTCTTGGCGGCCACCTCTGCTATGGCGCACCAGTCCCTGCGCACGACGCAGCGCGTGGAATAGCGGATACCTGCTCCGATACCAATGCAATCAGACTCGCTTTCATTCACACTTTTGGTGCATGCAAACAGTAGCGCAGCAAACTGGCGACATGCGCCCACTCAAAACTCAGAGATATGGCAACCCAGATAAGAGTTCACTTTCAATGGCTATGGCGACTCAGCGCCCAGACAACTCTCTGTTCGTATACACCGGATCACCCTGGATATCCCACACGCATCTCTCCGAACACTCTCACACACACACACTAAACACTCACTACAGCTATAGCAGCTATGGCCGCAACTACCCTATCGGTATACTATGCTCCTTCTCTCTCGCCCACTTTGGCCTTGGGCTCTCTGCAGACCTCCTAGCACAAGTCGCTGTGGCAGCGCTTTCGCATGGCTCAGGCAGCAATGAATACATGACTGGGCGCTGCCTCTTGATTTATACTTTTGGTCCTTGCTGGACCGGACTGGGACTGACTGGACCCTACCGCTAACTAAATGAGGACTCACTGCTTTCCTACCGCTACCGTACTGCGAACGTACTGCAGTTGGTCCACCACTTGCCCACTTGCTCGACCTTCTAGAAGGACTACAACTAAGACTTCTAGAACTCACTAAGACTTTTATTTTATAGATCTACAGATCAAACCCCTGCTACCTACGGACCCTACGACAGTCTACTAACTCTTACAAATACACAGGCCGTGGGTTCAAGCCTTGGGGTCGACACAGATACTATACACCGGTAGGGTAAGGGCTAGGGATCGAGCCGTGGGGTCTGCATCGGCTACTGCAAAAGGTGAAAACCGTTTCAATTATGAGGTGGCTGGTGTGGTGGGACATAGTGAGCCCTTCGTTAGGAGAAGGGTCCTTCACGGAAAAGACAATGTCATGCTCCTGGCTAGGTGCAATGAACGACATTGCATGACATAAAAGGGCAGGGGCTATTTGTACGACACCTTGTTGTCCTGGCTAGGTGCAAGGAACGACACTACACGATGTAAAAGGGTATGGGCTATCTGTACGACAACTTGCTTTGTATGAGGTGGATGGTGCGGCGGGACATAGTGGACCCTTCGTTCAGTGAAGGGTCCGTCATTGGAATAGACATACTCGGGGCTAGGCGCAAGAAATGACACTGCACGACATAAAAGGGCAGGGGTCTGGCGCCTGACACCTTGCGAGTTCGTGGACTGAACCCGTCAACTTGGTTCGTATCGGGCGTAACACCCAGCCTATTGACCAATCCACAACCGGTCAGTACCCTTGCAACAAATGCGTTCGTTATTTTCCTTACTTGGGTGGGGGGGGCGGGGGTGGGGGGCCAGGGCTTTATCACATTTGTTCCGAGCCCCTGCTTTAATCCCAGATATGCAAGTATTGTTTGGGTTGACATTTACCATGCACAAATGCACATGGATTTGCACGTGTCGTTTTTCAATTGAGAATTCAACCTCCCTAAGCAAATACTAGAGACTCTGTAAGGTCACGCAACACTAGTTATCGTTGTGCATTTGTGTATGGTAAATGTCACCCCAAATTATTCATATGCATTTGTGCATGGTAAAGATCACCCCAAACACAAGGTCGGATGGAGCCAGGGATCGAGCTTCTGACTTTAACCCGGAAGGGCCTCCTTGATGGGGTAACATATACTAGTTAAACATTGAATCAATTCGCAATTACCGTAGTTCGACAGATCACCTTATCGAAGTGTCAACCAATCATTGGCTCTCTGTGTGGATTGCCAATAATACTCTTAGGGAGCCTTGATGTTGGGTCCTGATCTGTTTGGCGATCGAGCACCTTTAAGAAGCGTCAAATAGTCGTTGGTTATCTGTGTCCACATCGTGCCCACACAGAGGCTTTATCACATTTATCCCGAACTCCTGCTTTAATCCCACATATGCAAGTATTGTTTGAGGTGACATTTACCATGCACAAATGCACATGAATTCGCACTCGTTGTTTTTCAATTGAGAATTCAACCTCCCTAAGCAAATACTAAGAGACTCTGTAAGGTCACGCAACACTAGTTAAAGGCCGAATCAATTTGCATTTATCGTTGCTCTTACAGAGCACCTTCAAGAAGTATCAAACTTATCCAGATGTCACAATCTCAGGAAGTGCAGAGGCATGGTTCAAGGCACAGGAAACACACAGCAAAATGAGAGATTGAGAGTACTACCCAAAGGAATGAGTGAGGACTCTTGACTAGTGTTGGTCATGCTCTTTATGTGTACTCTCTGAGATTATTATGAGTTCTCATTATTTCCTCATGTATCTTTGTCATCACTCGAGTAAGTCAGTCGTGCTTCTTTTGCATTATTTTTGCTTGATGATTTGCATTCTCATATGATCTCGTCACAATTCTCAAAAATTATAAAATTGGCAAATTGATGCATGCATGACGTATCCGAATTCTACAATTATTATTTGCATGATTCTTTGTTGTTCCAAATCAAAATAAAAGATTCCTAAGACCGGGGACCAGCAAAGACCGCAATTGAAGGGTCTCGCCCGAAGCCGGACGCACAGAATAGAAAGGAATTTGTTTTAATTCATTTATTTTATTTATAGCAAACATCATTCAAAATCCTGCGTGATAGCCTGTTGGCTTTCCGGTCGCCTGATAGAGCTCGAGTAGAAAAAGTGCGACAAAAATGACGCTGTTGCCGGGGACATGAAAATTTATCGTGCCCAGAACGAACCTGGGTCAGTATCAACTTTGAGTTTTTGATCAGGGCATGAGAACTGTTGACAATTCCTGATTTGCAGACTGACTCTATTATTTTGATTGAGACATCATTCTATTGAAAATTCTCAGTTGCTAATTGGAACTTATTTTTTCATGTGTGAGGTACCACACTGGATCGGAGGAGGAGACTGACTTTACTTATTGGAGAAGATCAGGCTTAATCACATGTATGTCTTATGAGCCCTAGATGTCCTTGAAGAACTGAGAAAAAAGAGAACGAGTTAGAGGGTAAGAGATTCCATCAATAATGCTAACTACTGATTCACTGAAAGAACTCTCAAATTTTATTACCAAAGGGGTATTCCCCTATCAGTATGAGCATTGTTGAATTCACCACTCTGGCAGTTTGACCATCCGTGTAGTGTTGACTCACTTCTTGGAGGGAAATACCTATGATATTCGTCCCTACGTCAAGAAGGGAGGTTGCAACGGTGGTGAGATCTTTAATTGACTATGAGAAATAGTTGTTCAATCTATTTATGATGAAAAGGCAGATCTAACCAAGCGAAAGAAGAGAGTGGAATGAGGGTTAATGCCTGTAATCTATGAGACAATTAAAATTTTTCCTATTCCTGAGAGCTATTGTAACGAAAGTAATTGGTTGTCAATAATTAATATGGCACTGAGGTGGAAGAAACGAGAAGGTTGTCATGAGAGTAAGAGAAACTTCAGCAAAGTAAATCATACAGAGAAGACTGAAATTTGAAAGAGGCTCAGGTCCAAGTAAGGAAAAGGTCGAGTGCCTCCTGAGATCACTGAACACTTTAAGTGAGAAAAAAATGTTACCATACAAGATTGTCAAGTATGAGATGGTTGAAAGTGGATGGGAGAAGGAACGATTTTATGTCCTGACATTTCACTTTACAGACCTGGACTCATACGATGTAAGAATTTATGTTCCTAAAGAAAGAACTGTTGATGTTTTGTATGGGAGATGTTGAAGATTTGTTGAGGAAGTTGTACTGAAAGAGAAAGAGAGAC